ATGCAGAGAAGGAGACATTATAATGTTGCACTTAAACATGAAGTGAAAAAAAACCTGTCAAAGCTTGGAAAAAAACAATTGTACATATCAGGATGACACAATGTGAAATGATAAGGACCACATTTTGTTGATGACATCAGCGTAAATCTGTGGTAAATCAATAGAATTCTGTGCTGGGAATTTCACAGGGTATGTTTCCATGGCAAATCCCCTCTACCGCAGGCACAGTGAGTCTCAGTACCCAGCTCTACAGACTTGGGCTCATGGCTGCCCTAGGGGTATGTCTACATTGCAACACTATTTTAGGATACCGGAGTATCCCGAAATACTGGAGGTTGCATTACCTCTTCATAGCATGCCCATTGTTTCAGGCTCACTATTCCAACATCCCTGTAAACCTCATGCCACGAGGAGTTAGGGACATTTTGGAATAGCACTTTGTTTCAAAATTTGGTGTTCTATAATCAGCACCAAATGATGAAATGAGCTATTTCGAAATAGCATCAAAATAAGATATGTAATTTGCATAGTTTAAATTTGCATATCTTATTTCAAGTTATGGTGCAGTGTAGATACATTGCTAGGGACCAAGCCTGAATATTTCCATAGCTATTTTAAGTGCTATAGTGAGAGTCCTGCAAGCCTGAATCTGTAGACACAGAGTTAAGGAAATGCCTAAGCTTAAGCTTTAATGCTTTCTGGAATAGGGGCTAGGTGGGGGTTTGGGATTGAGCATATATATTTTAATGGATAGATAGATAATACGAACACTTGCCTTATGCACTGAATTCACTAGAGTTACTCCAGACTACACTGGTAAAAGTGGCAGTAGAATTTAGCTCTATGTCTCCAAGCCTATAGAGAGCTTAAATACATTTGACTGTTTGTGGCAATATCACTACTTTAAATTAATTAAAGCAGCTCCATGTTCCAGACAATGGTACTGCTCCTTTAAATATCGGCCAAACTTCTGCTGTTGGTATCAGTGGAAGCAGGATCATTCCCCAAGAAAATGATGTTTGGAAGCTGAGCTCATCCGATATTTACAAAAAAATCTCTCTGACCCCAACTATATCCTCAAGGCAAAGCAGAAGCATCCCAAGGCTGAGTGATGTCTAGTATGGACCAAAGACTGTGTTACACTCAGAGAAGGTATATTTAAATATGTCAATGAGATGAAAGGAGCCAGATGCAAGCCTCATGGGCAAACAAAGTAAAGGTAAGACTAGATATCTCATGTAAGCCTTCAACAGTCTGATTCTCTGCCAAAGTATGCTGCACCTCATAAAAAATTGCCTTACTCTAAAGACCTCTGGACGGCAGTCAACTTAACGTCATCTGTATCTGCTCCTTCAAAGCATTCTCTTTAGCTCAATGTAAAGTAGAAGAATACAAACTGGCTTTTTTTACCCTAAAGGTAACTGCATGTCCATCACTTCCCATCCAGGCTATGTCTACACTACAGGGCTTTATTGCAAAAAAGATACACAAATTGCACTTTTCCGTCTACACTAGGCCAAATTTCAGAAAAAAACCTCTTTTGGAAGAACCTTCTTCCCTGTAGGAGGGAAAATACAGGGCTTCCGAAAGAGCACGTCTATTCTTCCGCAAAAAAAAAAAAAAGCGGAAGATCAGACACGTTCCCTGGATGCGGCAGAGTTTTTCTGGTATCCCAGAAAACCCCCATGGTCTAGACATAGCCCCAGTAAAT